AAGGATCAAAGAAGACATTGCAAAGCCCTCTCAAGACAGGTAAGAAAACCCCAAAGCTAAGCTTGCTATGGGAGCAATCATGAGATGACAAGTTCAATGGCAAAGCAGAGTACTCAAGCGCTTCCAGATCACGAGTGACACACTGCTGCCACCTGGTGGCTACATGTAAAACTCATAATGAGGACATTTTAGAGCCAGCAAAGTCCTTCCCTCTTGAAAGCCTTCTAGAGTTCATTGTTCTCTCTACTTAATTTTCTTTTTTTCTTTTTTGGGTCAGGTTGTGGGGCCTGAACTCTGGGCCTGGGCGCTGTCCCTCAGCTCTTTAGCTCAAGGCTAGCGCTCTACCACTTGAGCCACAGTGCCACTTCCGGCTTTTTTCTTTTTGCTTATGTGGTGCTGGGGAATCGAACCCAGGGCCTCAGGCATGCAAGGCAAGCTCTCTACCACTGAGCCACCTTCCCAGCCCTCTACTTAATTTTCTTTCCATCTCTACTTCTTCTTTTGAGAGACATTTATCAATATTTTAGATATATGGGCTAAACAGTCTGGCATTATTCAACTTTATTTGTTATTTTTGCATTTTAAATATTATCCTTAAGAAATATTCAACAAGATTGCTAGCCTTGAGCTGAAGAGCTGAGGGACAGCGCCCAGGCCCAGAGTTCAAGCCCCACGACCAACAACAACAAAAAGAAACATTCAACATTTTTTTTTTGCACTGCTGAGTATGGAACCGAGAGCCTTGTACATGCTAGCAAATGCTCTATCACTAAGTTACATCCTCAGCCCCACTATTCTGTGTGTGGGGGCTGTGTGTGTGTGTGTGTGTGTGTGTGTGTGTGTGTGTGTGTGTGTGTGTGTACGGGGGCTTGAACTCAGGGCCTGGGTCCTGTCCCTTAGCTTTATTGCTTAAGGCTGGTGCTTTACCAGTTGAATCTTGCCTTCACTTCCAGCTTTTTGGTGGTTAATTGGAGATGAGACTCACAAACATCCCTGCCCAGAATGGCTTCAAACCATGATCCTCAGATCTCAGCTTTCTGAATAGGATTACAGGAATGACCCTCTGGCATCTGACTCTCACTACCTTTTTATAGTAATTGTTCTTGTTTCCTTTTAGCTTTATCATATCTATATGCATGTACAAACAGTATACTTTATCTCTCCCAGGTCTGAGCTTCATATACACAGGTGCATACTACCATAATTCTTTTTTGAAAAGCGGGCTTTGTTGTGATACACTGTAAATAACACAAATTCATTTTTTTAATTTATGTAGTTCATTTTTTAAAATAAATTCAGAGCTGGACCACCATAATCATGATCAATTTTAGATTATTTTAATCATAGCAAAAAGAAATAATATACCTTGTCCATATAACCCCTCTGTACGGTATTTTCAAAAGAAAAAAAGAAATAATAAGCCTGGCGCTGGTAGCTCACATCTGTAATCCTAGCTACTCAGGAGGCTGAGATCTGAGGATTGAGGTTCAAAGCCAGTCTGGGCAGGAAAGTCTGTGAGACTCTTATCTCCAATTAACCACCAGAAAACCAGAAGTGGTACTGTGGCTCAAGTGGCAGAGCATTCAACTTGAGCTGAAGAGCTCAGGGACAGCACCCAGGCCCAGAGTTCAAGCCCATGACTAAACAAAACAAAACAAAAGAAAAAAAGTAATGTACCCATTAGTAATCACCCTCTTTTCCTTCTTCTTGAAGCCCATAGCAATCACTAATGTACTTCCTGTCTCTGTGTATTTGTATCTTTGACCATTGTATGTAAACAGAATCAGACAAAATGTGCTCTTTTCTGTTTGTCCTCTCGCATTGTTTTCATGGTTCATCTATGAACATGAATTGGTACTTTTTTCCTTTTGTCCATTCATCAGTGGATGGACATTTGGATTGCTTCTACTTTAGGCTATTATTATCATTAATATACTGCTATGAATGTTAGTACATAGTTTTGTATAGACATGTTTTCATCTCTCTTGGATATGCACTTAGAAATGGAATTGTTGACTCATATGGTGATTCTATATTTAACTTTTGAGGAAATTCTCAACTGTTTTCCAAAATGAGTGCACCATTTTACAATCCAATCCACAATATTTGAGGATTCTAACTTCTTTGCAGATACCTGTTACTGTATTTCTTTATTATAGCTATGCTAATCGCATTAAGTAGTGTTTCATTCTGGATTAATTTTGCATTTGTGTGATGTCCAATGATATGGAGCAGCTTTTCATGTATTTATTGCCATTTTCATATTCTGGAGAAATGCCTACTAAGATCCTTTGCACATTTTAAAAAGATTTATTTTGCCAGTCCTGGGACTTGAACTCAGGGTCTGGGCACTGTCCCTGAGCTTCTTTTGCTCAAAGCTAGCACTCTACCACTTGAGCCACAGTGCCACTTCCAGCCTCTTCTATTTATGTGGTACTGAGGAATTGAATCCAGGGCTTCATTCATGCTATCCAGTACTCTTCAACTAAGTCCCATTCCCAGCCCCTCAAAAGATTTTTATTAGCATACATCAGTTGTACAAAGGGGGGGTTCATTGTGACATTTCCACACATAAATACATTATATACATATATTACATACCTACATATATACAATATAGCCTGATCAAACTCCATGCATCACTGTCCCTCATTTCCCTACTCCTCTCTTAAACAATCTCAACAGTTTTCATTCTTCTTTCACATATTCATATAAAGTATTTCAACTTTATTCAGTATCTTCACCCTCTGAGTTGGCCATCACTTCTCCTGATGATATTTAGCTCCAAATAGAGCCTGTTTACCATGCTATAAGGGCCTGGGCATTATCCCTGAGCTCTTTAGCTCAAGGCTAGGCACTCTACCACTTGAGCCACAGCACCACTTTCGGTTTTCTGGTGGTTCACTGGAGATAAGAGTCTTATGGACTTTCCTGCCTGAGTTGATTTTGTACCGTGATCCTCAGATCCTCAGATCTCAGCGTCCTGAGTAGCTAGGAGTATAGGCGTGAGCCACCAGCATCCAGCTTGTTTCTGAAGGTTTGTGCTCAAGGCTAACACTCTACCAGTTAAGCCCCAGCTCCACTTCTTTTGGCTTTTTGAGGTTAATTGGAGATAAGAGTCTCACAGATTTTCCTGCCCAGGGTGGCTTTGAACCTCAATGCTCAGATCTCAGCCTTTTGAGTAGTTAGGATTACAGGTGTGAGCCATTCGCACCTGGCTCTATGTCAAGTTTCATGCCTTTAGTCTCAAGATATAGAATTGACTCAAGGGAGAAAGGAAGGATAGAGGGAGGAAGAAAGAGTGTTAAATTTTGCAGTTGGCTTCCTGTATCCAAGAGGTTCACTTGTTCCTTGAGCCTGTTGCGCCGTCCTCCCGGGCCCCCTCCTCTCCCGTACCCTGGTCAAACCTGAGCCAGTCGCCCGCCCCCGCACTCCACTGATTGGCTGCAGTGGCCTGTTCGTCACACTCTGCTGTCATCGTGGTCAGAAGATAAAAGCAGCCGCGGCTGCCTTGGGAACCGTGCTGCTTGGACTCGGGTACCCTTCTCTGGGTGGCAGTACGAAGCAGCCCCTTTTCCTCCCCCTACACCCCCGGATCGCTTAACGGCGAGAGCGGCGCGCGCCTCCCCCCGACCCCCAAGCAGGGTTGCAGGACCAGTAGGCTGAAACCAGGCTCCCAAACGTCCTCAGCCCACCAGCTGCGTGGAGGTAAAGTGGGGGGGGGGATTTGATTTCCTGGTGTGGGGAGAAGTGGGGGGGGCGGAAGCTGCCAGTCCTGGGTGGCACAGGGTTTGGAGAATCGGCAATTGCGAGGTAAGGGAAGGAGCACCCGCAAAGCCTGGCAGCTTTGAGGGAGGAGGTGGGGTTCACCTGGTTGCTGCAGAGTGGGTAAGATGTGCTTGCATTGGGGGAAGGGAAGAAGAAGCCACGCAGGAGAGGAGGGAGAAGGACTCGAATTTGCCTTGGACTCCCCCCTCCCCTTATTTTGAACCCCCTTTTGCACCTCATCACCTCTTCCTGGGGAGAACTATGTGGGTGGGTGTGTCCAAGTCCTATTCCATTTCTCTAAAGCAGCCGGTCTAAGCGGAATCTGACCTCGAATTGTGTGCAACTGCTTGTAGATCTGGTAGGCAATGCTGGCACGGGATCAAATGGGGAAGGGTCGTTGGGGATCGTTTGAGGGAAGGTGGGAGAGGGAATTTTCTGCCTGGCGACTGCAGAGGCGGGGAAAGGGAGGGGGAGGAGGGAGCAGCGGGATGACGCGCGACACTACCTCCGACCCTCCACCCCCTGCCCGCCTCCCCTGTGGCGCAGTTTGGACACCTGGAGCACACCGAATCTGTGAATCCTGCGGACTGTGATCGACCGGACCCCAGAAGCAAGCTTTCTTACGAAGAGCAAAGATTTCACCAGCTGGAAATAAAGGTGCACTCATTTCTGCATCTGTAAAGGATCTGAGAATTACCACAGGGGTGGGGAGGTCACAAGGGGGTGTGGCTGAGGCCAGATGATGCAATCACTGAGATCCTCTGTGATTTCTACGCATCTGCCACTGCTGTGCTTGCTTTTGAGAGCCTCACTGTCGATTCCATACACTGTTCAAGCTACATAGAATTCGAAGCAACAGTTGCCATTCCCTTGGAAGGACTTGGGGGCGCAGGCAGCGGGGAGGGGGGGGTGGATTTGGCTGCAGAAAGCACCCAGCGAGCCTAGAAGCCACCTGAGACGAGCAACAAGAGACTATCATTGCCCATCTCTTGCAGGATATTTTTTTAAGAGGAGGGGGGAGGGGGGGAGGCGGGGACCCTGTAATGCAGGCTATTGAGGTAAGGAGTGAACACAGCTACAGTATGTCTCTTATTAACTCCCCCCCCCTGTTTTTCTTTACAGACCCTACTGGAATAAGAGGAGGACAGAATCCCCTGCACACCTGCATATTAGCCCGCTCCCACCCCCGCCCCATAAAAGCCCAGGAATTCTGTATTGAGATCCTGTGTCATCAGCAGGCATGGCAAGCATCCTTGCACACGTGGGTGCCAACCGGGGGCAAAATGCAGCCATGCCTCCTTGGGCCCATTCCTTGCTGAGATCCCTGGGGAGAAGTCTTGGCCCTTTGATGGCCTACATAGCAGAGAGAAACCTGAAATTGTTCTCAGGGAAAGCAGTGCCAGTCCCAGGGGAAGAAACCTTTGAAAACTGGCTGATCCAAGTCAATGGGGTCCTGCCAGATTGGAATATACCTGAGGAAGAGAAGCTCAAGCGTTTGATGAAAACGCTCAGGGGTCCTGCCCGCGAGGTCATGCGTTTGCTCCAGGCTGCCAACCCTAATCTAAGTGTGGCAGATTTTTTGCAGGCAATGAAATTGGTGTTCGGTGAGTCTGAAAGCACGGTGACGGCTCATGGTAAATTTGTGAACACGCTCCAGGCAGAGGGGGAGAAAGCCTCCCTTTATGTGATCCGTTTAGAGGTGCAACTCCAAAATGCTATCCAGGCAGGCGTCCTGTGCGAGAGAGATGCAAACCAGACTCGCCTGCACCAGTTCCTGGTAGGGGCTGAGCTGAGTAGGGACCTGCACTGCAGGCTTAAGGGGCTTCTCAGGGTGTATGCAAATGAGCCAGAGCAGCTTCCTGATTTCCTGGAGCTAATCAGAATGATTCGGGAGGAGGAAGATTGGGATGACACATTTATTACACCAAAGCAGCCCAAAAGATCTGAGTCAGAGGTGGAGAATGTAAGCAGCCCCGTGATATTTGAGGACAACTCCCAAATCGCCATGAGCAGTGCTGACTGCAATGTGATAGAGATAGACGATACCCAGGATGACTCAGATGAGGATGTGATCCTGATAGAATCTGAGGACCCTCCGCTCTCATCCTTGGCTTCCCCTCCCATTCCAGACATCTATCAGGACCAAGTGCTGCTCATTGATTCCCCCAGCACTTCCGCCACTCAGTCTCCTTCCACCAGCCATGGTGATGGGCGGAGAGCCAGGAAGCGAAAACACACAAGGGGCTGTACTTCTTGTGGTGAGGAGGGTCACTCAAAAGAAACCTGTGACAATAGCAACAAGACCCAAGTTTTTGAGAATCTGATCATCACCCTACAGGAGCTGACACATAGAGAGCAGGGGCCAAGACCTGTCAAAACCTATGGCCCCTGTGAGCTACAGTATGGTGCTGGCCCCCAGCCTTAAATGAGCCCCTGACTAGGAAATTAGAGGAGGGGATGTGTCTAACTTGCATGAATTAATCTGAAAAGCAGTTTTCTTTTGTATGGAGAAAGGGTCTTGAATAGCAACCAGTAGAGTGAAAGAAGATGGCCTGTAATCCATCCTTGCTTTTTCTCCCCATTGCTGAAGATCCTGTTTTCTGTGTGTGCCCATTTCCTTGATTGCTTTGTTCTCTTGATGAAAATAGCATCTTTCATTGTTAAGTGTTCAACTATTAGAGAAAATTATAAAAAGGTGATGTACAAGTGATCTAGAACTCTCCACCCTTTGGTAAATGTCCTTCTAGATATTTCTCTATGCCTATGTACACAGATAGCTATATATTATAGATAAGTGATTCAATATAAGTGCTATTCTATATGCTGTATTTTTTCACCAAACGATACATGTTGTGGCCTTCTATGTCTGTAAAAAAATACAATACATACATACATATGTATGTATATCAACATCTACCTTAATGTCTCTGTGGTATTATTTAACGTCTCTGTGATAGTATTTTAAGAAGATGTAAAGGGAAAGAAAAAAAAATACTGAAAAGCTATAAAGGGCAGGGTCATAGTCTGAAGATTTTTTTTTTCAATCAGCTTCATTGCAGATGAACAAAGAAGAAGAAATGTGCTGAAATATTTCCCAAAGAGAAAAAGTCCCTTTACCACAACTGACCTGTCCCCTACCTCATAGAGCCAAATTATGACCTGTATTAATTGACAATACACCACTGATTACTTTCCTGTTCAAGTTAGAGGAGTTGGGTGGGGGTTATGTACCCAACAAGAGAATCCCAGGGGTTCCACTCCTGTTCACTTTGGTGAAGGGAAGTTCTCCCCTAGGTGGATTCCATACATTTCTGCAGCAGCTTCTGGACATTATTTTTAAGGTGCCACGGTCCTGGAGCTTGAACTCACAGTGTGGGCACTGTCCCTGAGCTTTTTAGATTATAGCTAGTATTCTACCACTTGAGCCACAGCTCCAATTCCAATGTATTTGGAAGTTATTGGAGATAAGGGTCTCCCACAGTTTCCTTCCTAGGCTGGCTTTGAACCATGATTCTCAGATCTCAACCTCCTGAGTAGTGAGGATTACAGGCATGAGCCACTGGTACCTTGCTTCTAGACAGCATTCTTTTGACAAGGAATCTCATCTGTGGACTGACACCACCCTCTGCCCCCTCCCCGATGAGGGAAAGAGAAAAGAACAACTCTTGGGAGCTTTGGGAGCTCAGCACCAGTACGCTCAGCTCTGCTACAGATTGCAGGTAGTTTAAGGACTCCCAACTAACCCCACTGGAACCCAAGATTGCTTTCATAAGGCACGTTGAAAAACAACCCCAGGGGCTGGGAAGGTGGCTCAGTGGTAGAGCACTTGCCTTGCATGCATGAGGCCCTGGGTTCGATTCCTCAGCACCACATAAGCAAAAAAAAAGCCGGAAGTGGTGCTGTGGCTCAAGTGGTAGAGTGCTAGCCTTGAGCTGAAGAGCTGAGGGATAGCGCCCAGGCCCAGAGTTCAGGCCCCATGACCGGACCCCCCCCCCAAAAAAAGGAAAAAAAGAAAAAAAAACATACCCAGGTCACTTGAAAAAACATGGGAATCAGCCAGCCAGGAAGCCCCAGTTGCCATTAGAGGAGAGTGGAGAATATGTGTGGGGAAGGGACGGAAAAGAGGGACTTTCCTAGGAACTGGCCTCACAGAAGCCCACCCTGGATCATCTACTGACCTCCATTTGAAGAATGACAAGAGAGGACAATGTGACCTTAGACCATATGGATCCTATGTTTTGTGAGCAGGACAGGGCTGAGCATTTAGGAGCAGGAAGAGAATGAAATGTAATGGAAGAGAGTGGAAGAGTGGAAGGGGGTACAGGTAGTGTGCAAAGGAGTCACAGAGTGAAGTGAATGGGTGAGTCTGGGGTTCTTGAGGGATTTGGTGATTCCCAGGTAATGGAGGGCCCACACTGCTTAAGAGGACAGAGCATGCAGTAGCAGTGGGAGCTGGTATGCCAGCAGAGAAGATAGAGCTGCTGTGTGGCTCAAGGAACTACAGGGACTCCCATGCAAATTGTCAGAGGCAGGAAGCCTTGTAAGAATCAGGACCAAGGGATTCATGCAAAACCCTGGGCTGGATTGTACAAGGATTGGCAAAGGTTGGTGGGGCTGGATGGGGGCTCCCCAGAGAAGGCCCTTAAGGTCCTAATTATGCTAGCAATGGATGGCCCACTAAGTAGAGACAAAGGGAGCCCAGGCTGAGGTCCTGAGGGAGAGATGGTGACCAAGTGCTTCAGGAAGCTCTCCCTGAGTTGAAGTGCTTCTCTGCAGAAAAACCCCTTTAGCTCCTCTTGGGCCTTTTGCTCCTACACCTTTCATGACTGAACTTTTTTTTTTTCCTTGTCAGTTGAACTCACAGCCTGAGTGCTGCCCCTGAGTTTTCACTCAAAGCTAGCTCTCTACCACTTTGAGCCACAGCTCCATTCCCATTTTTCTGGGGACTAATTGGAGACTTGAGTATCATGGGATTTCCTGCCTGGGCTTTGAACCACAGTCTTCGATCTCAGCCTCCTGAGTGGCTAGGGTCACAGGTGTGAGCCACCACTGCCTGGCTAATGACTCTACAATTTGACCTTACAATCACCACCAGTCCCCTCACCCAGTGCTCCCTGGAGCCCACACTTGTCCTTTGGTGACAGTGGTGGAGGCACAGAGCTCTTTCCTCAGCTTCCATGTCTCCACTACTTCCAACCCCACCACTTGATGATTGTTTTAAGCCTCAGTCTCTAGAAAGAAACCAGAAGCCAGGATCCAGTGGCTCACATTGGTAATCTTAGCTACTCAGGAGGCTGAGATCTGAGGATCATGGCTCAAGGCTAGCCTGGGCAGGAAAGTCTGTGAGACTCTTATCTCCAATTAAAAAAAAAAAAACAAAAACACCAAACTACCAGAAAGAAAAACTCAACAACAGAAGTGTCACTGTGGCTCAAAAGTGGTAGAACGCTAGCCTGAAGCAAAAGAAGTTCAGGGACAGTGCCCAGGCCCTGAGTTCAAGCTCCAGGATGCCTCTCTCCCCCGCCCCCCTGCCCCCAAAAAAGAAATATCTTCTGCCTCTGCATAGTAAGCTCTACAGGAGGACCAATCCTAGCATCCCTTCATGGCACCTCTGAGCCCAGGGCAGCCCCCTATTGTATTCCCAGAGTGGAGCAGCTCACCTCAGATCTCCAGAGCCACAGGAATCTCCAACAACCCTTAGCTTGCACAGGTTTTACCTCTTAATTTCGACCTACCCTGACTAAAGCTTCTCTTGACATGCACGTGTGTGTGTGTGTGTGTGTGTGTGTGTGTGTGCTTTGAACTGTGATCCTCAGAGCTCAGCTCCTGAGTAGCTAGGATTACAGGTACCAGGCTTCCATTTTTTAAACCAATGGTCACTTTTTCTCATGTTTACTCTATAAATACTTGTTGAATGGTTTGCCCAAAGATACAGATTGATGCTGCCATCATTTCTCTCTGGCACCACGCAGATTAGGAACATGAAAGGAGAAAGAAAGAAATCCGTTTTATGCATTACTGCCAACTTCTTTCTCACTAAAGTTAGCTGCAGTGGAGATCTCTGTAGAGATCCCAGCCTGTAAAACCTGTTTTATGGTCCTTCCCCTTCTTTCCTCTTCCTAGCTTCTTCCCTGTTCATATACACTTGAAACGGACAACAATTTTAGCCTGCTGTAAACCAGTATTTCTTTTTTTAAAAACTTCATTTTTTGAGACACTGGCTTTGCCATCATGCAAGAAATATGTATTTGCTCTAATTGGATACCTAAAGTATTCAGGAGAGACTAATGGGCTTTGCCAAAAGGAGGCTATTAGAGACTTTTATGTCTAGATCCCTCATTTCAAGCTATGGACTTATTTTCTTCCTCCTACCTACATTCCCATTGGTTGCTAAGGGATGAAAATGGCTCTTTGTCTTGTTAGAAGAAGCTGGCCTCTGGGCACCCTTTTGTGTTATTTTCCTCCTGCCTGGCATCTTTTCTCTTGGTTTCCATGACACCCTCCTTTGATGGCTCCCCCTCCTTGGCCTTTTTAGTAGCCACTTCTCAGTCTCTTTGCTCAATTTTCTTCCTCTTCTTGATCTCTGTACCATTATTTCCCGTACTTTTTTTTTCTTTTTTTGTGCTGATCATGGATGGTATCCTTGATTTCTTTTTTTTTTTCTCTCTCAAAGCTAGCACTCCATCACTTGAGCTACAGCTCCACCTCTGGATTTCTGGTGGTTAATTGGAGATAAGAGTCTCATGGATTTTCCTTCCCAGGCTGCCTTTGAACCTTTCAGCCTCCTGAGAAGCTAGGATTACAGACATGAGTCACCAGGATCCTGCTTACTCTAGACCTTTTTTTGGAGGAGGGGTGAGGGGAAAGTTAACAGAGAAAAAACTGGGAACAAAAATCACAAGTATTGATTGCTGAATAAATCAGGTTTTGTGTATACAGTGGAATGCTACTGTATATGTACATGTGTGGGCATGATGTCATATCATTGCTGGAAAAATAATGTATGTTCTCTGTGGACCAGGGCTTAGAAGAGTACCACTTCATCATACCCTCTGTGTTACCTTTTTTTTGGGGGGGGTGTTGGTGGTGTGGCTTGAACTCAGGGCCTAGGCACTGCCACTGAGCCTCTTTGTGCCCAAGGCTAGCGCTCTACCACTTGAGCTACAGCATCACTTCCGGTATTCTGATGGTTAATTGGAGATAAGAGTCTCACAGACTTTCCTACGTGGGCTGGCTTTAAACCAAGATCCTCAGAGCTCAGCCTCCTGAGTAGCTAGGATTACAGGTGGGAGCCACCACTGCCAGACTTCTGTATTTGTTGTTGTTGTTTAATTTTATTTTATTGTAAAGATGCTGTACAGAGGGGATACAGTTATATGAGTAAGGCAATGAGTACATTTCTTGTCCAGCATTGTTACCCCCTCCTCTGTTGTTCTCCCACTATCCCTTCCCTCTCCCACATCGCTCACTCATGCCCCCGCCCCGAAGTTGTAAAGTTCATTTCCAATATAGTGTCTTGTGGATATCATTATTGCAATGGGACATCCTGTGTCCTTGTTTCAGAATTTCATTATTCTCCATCCCCTCCCCAAATTAGACAAATGTGTTATCTTTGATGGTCCAACCTGCTGACCCCTCCTTCACCTGCCAGATAAAGATTGTCCAGATTCAAGTCTCAGCTCACCTGGCATCCCTTGGGGCAGCCTTCCGTGACTTCACCACAGCTTGTTTCCTATATACTAGGTACTGCTTCCCATGTTGTTCTATCAGATTGTATAATGAACAGCTTTCCCTGCTAGGCTTACAGTCCTGTGTCCAGCACAGCATGGTCGTCCA